ACTTCATCTGGGTCTTCCATGTAGGTAGCAGGAATCTAACTACACCAGCCATGTACACCGTTTTCCGTGCCTTAGCAGGAAGCTGAAACTGTGAACAGAGCCAGAACTTGAACCAGATACTTGAACTCAGACAGTACAATTATTGGTGCAAGTGGTCCAAAAGCCCACCCCAAGCTCACTCTTAATATTCACTTTCACCTAAAAAATTATATAAAGTTACTCTATTTCTAAATTTTAAAAACAGAGTAAAAGAGTGAGAGTGAGATTCTCTAATCACTGGTTCACACTCCAGTGACCACATACCCAGGTCTGAACTAGGCTGAAGCCAGGAGCTAGAAACTCTGATTCTCCCCCATGTGGCTTGCAGAAACCCAAGTACCTGAGGCATCATCTGCTGTCTCCTAGAGTTGGCACTAGCAGGGAGCTGAATTGCAAGTGGGAGTGAGAACTGATCCATGTCCTCTGACATGGGATGTGGGCATCTCAAGTGATAACTCTCTAGGCAACAAATCCCACCCCATATCCATTTTTATGGGAGACCAATGGAGTCAGTGAGACTCCACACTTAAAGAAACAACTTCAATTCGTAACCTTGGACAACTCAGTGTATGTGCACAAATGTCACAAATCAGTTTCCTTCAGCCTTATTCCTCTGTGATCACAATGGCTGGACAACCCAGTAACACTGGATAATATTGATTGCACTTGGAGTTTGAACTCCTATCCCTCTTTGCCAGCCACCAGCACACCTCGGTGGGTCACGCAACCCTCTGGCTTTCCTATCACTTTTTTCTCCTTTTCCCAATGACATGTGGAGATCATGTTAAGTTCTCCTTCTGATCTGGTACTGTAGCGTCCCTGCACTCTGAACTCAGTCTTCCGCCTCTTGGTTTCATCAGTCACCTTTATGTGGATAACTGCACTACATTTACATATGCGAAGATCATCAGTATGCCAAAGAATCAAATTCACTATGTACAAAGTGCCAGAAAAATCACCTTTTAAAATGTTCTGCCCACACACCCCAGCACACAGATTTACGTGTAGATATAAAAGTTTAGGAACAGATATTAGTGAGATCTCTTCCTTTTATTTTCAGTTTAGTACAACATATAGAATCAACTTACATAAATGTTTTACGATTATTTAAACTTTTTAAATTTAAGAATTGTATTACTTTGTGGCTCATATAAGAAGCATACACAAATGGTACCAGGTTTTATTCTGGACAAAACCAAAGTTATAATTCTCTTATGGTAACTGGAAAACTTGCATTAATAAGTCTATAATTTTAAAAGTAGTTATGTGACTAGCATGATGGCTCAACTAACTAATCCTCTGTCTGTAAATGCCAGCATCCCAAATGGGTGCCAGTTCATGTTCTGCCTGCTCTACTTCCCATCTACCTCCCTGCTTATGGCCTGGGAAAGTAGCAGAAGATGGTCTAAGTTCTTGTGATGCTGAACTCACTTGGGAAACCCAGAAGAGGCTTCTGACTCCTGGCTTCGGATCAGCTAATCTCTGGCCATTGCAGCCACTTGGAGAATGAACCAGCAGATAGAAAACCTTCACTCTCTATCTCTCCTCTGTGTTAATCTATCTTTCAAATAACAATTTAAAAAAAAATTTTTTTTAAGTAGTTATTTTTAAAGAAAAAAATCCACTCAGTACTTGAGGTCTAGTTTCTTTAAGTTTCCAAGATGAAATTTAGAACCTTCTTTAAAAATATTTTATTTATTTTTATTGGTAAGGTAGATGAGATTTAAAGAGAGAAGGGAGACAGAAAGATCTTCCATCTGTTGAATCATTCCCCAAATGACCAGAAGGGCTGCATCTGGGTTGATCTGAAGGTAGATTTACAAAAGGAGGAAAATAGACAGAGATTTTCTTTCCATTGTTGGTTCACTTTTCAAATAGCTGCAATAGCCAGAGCTAGGTCCAACTTCATGAAGTTGGAGTCCAAGAGTTTTCTCTGGGTCTCCCGCATGGGGGCACAGTCCCAAGGCTTTGGGCCATCCTCCAATACTTTTCCAGGGAGTTTCATGGGAAGTAGAACAGCTGGGACACAATTCATGAGGAATTCTGGTTCTTTTAAGATGAGGATTGAGCCACTGAGCCATCACACTGGGCCCAAAGTTTAGAATCTTTAGCTGAAGTTTCTGCTGCTTAGCAAGAATAAAGGAATGATCTAGTTAGCCTGTCTTATCAGATAGCAGGCATAGCTTCCTCACCTGCACGCTGAGTGGGAAGATAACATGTGTCCCTGCCTTCCCCTCACCGTGAGAAGAGTGAGCAATCTCAGACACAGTGAAAAGGGGATTTTATGGTTTGAAAGTAGGTGGCAAAATGTACAATATATTCTTAAGTCAGGGATTCCTGAACTGGGTCACATGTTTTATCTCGGAATTCCTCTAAACCTGGGTTAACAACACATGTGCACCAAGAAGGTGCTTTCAAGGACATTTCCTCTTGGTTGCAGTTGGCACCTCTCATTACGTGTGGGGAATTTAAAATCAAACATGACTTCCGGTTGGGAAGTAAATATAATCATGAATGAAAGTGGTTATTTCAGGAAATGGTATACTGAAATACTTTGAGGGTGCCATTTTGTTTTCTGCAGCCATTAAACAGTATATATAAACAAAAGACAGTTGATTAATCCTTAAAGAATGAGGAAGTTTTTCTGGGCATCACTATGCTCTTCAAAATCTATTAATGAGAAAATGCCCTGGGACATTCTAGCTTCTCAAGGACAAATGGGGAGATACCGAAGCCCGAGGCTGCCAGTGGCCAAAAACAACTCAAGCATCACTCTCCCCTCTCTACTTTCTCTTCTTTTGATTTTCTTTCTCCCTCGCAGCCCTATTGCTGTTGTCAGCCCTTCCTTGCCTCTCCCACTAAGGGAAATTTAGAGATCTACTGGTTCACAACCCCAGCGCCTGCCACTGCTGGGTTTGGCCGGGTCAGGCCAAAGCCAGAGGTTGGTACCAGACTCAGCAACTCCAATCAGGGAGCGTTTGGACGGACTAAAGGCCCGTTCCATTCCACTTACAGCTTCTACCTGGGTGACTGCATCAGGACAGCTCACCAGTGATCCAAATTCTTTCACTTTGAAATCCAAACTCATTTTCGTTCACTCAGTAACTTCCATGCTTCCCACTTTGCTTGAGAGGATCATAACATTGTGTGCTATCCCAAATTAAAGTGGGATCTTTTATTCCCCCCTCTCCTATTTCCTACAGCCGCGAAGGTAAACACTCACCTGCTTGGGTTTTCATTGCTCACTGTCAGTGTCTTTCCTGGTGCACAGTACCCCTTTGTCACCCTGTGCCTTTTGCTTCTGGTGACTGCTATCTCTGAAGTGACTCTCTTCAGCTTATCTGGCATCACACTTCTCGCTAAATTTTCTGTAAAAATCAACCCAGAGATAACGTCTATTGCTTATTCATCTGGTTATTCAAAAACAGGTGCCATTTTAGTGGCACTATTAGGTACCTGTTTCTTCTTATTTTAAGTAGAATCTTAATACAAAGAGACCCTCAGTCAAAATACTTTGATTTTTCTTTTAAATGCCCAAGAGATACAAAAAATGTTCTTCTCTGGCTTTAAGGCATGGAGAGGAGTAATATTTTATATACTAGTGTTTTAAAGTGAGCGTTTTAGTTCTATCAGAAACTCATGAAAAAACTAATGTACCTAGAAAACCTTACACGCATTTTACTTAGCGACCTTTCAGTCCAATAATTCGGTCACATGTTAGTATCAAACAGTAACAGAGAGAAGTAACTCAGACGAAAGGGCGGAAAAAACAGTGTCACTTCGTGATTTCTCTCTTCTTGAGCTTACAGTTAATGCTTAAAACTTCCTCTGGTTTAGTTCTGACACAGAATCGAGGTAGCTAGGGGAGACGAGGCAGGCACCTCAACCAGGCACGACATTGAGCCTTAATAGAAAAGGCGCATGCTTAGCATATGGAAAGCCAATGAGTGCAAGAATAAAGTGCTTCTGAAAGAAGCATTAAGAGGCTGCCTTTAGAACTGATGGCTTTCAGTGAGACGCTAAGGACTTCTCTCCTGACAGCTTTCTTCCGGAACATCGCTTTGCTCCGTGTTCTTTTCTGGACTTCATTTCCTATCGCTGCCTCGATAGGAGGGGAGGTAACTGCCACCAGAGCGGCCACGGTCCTTTTACAGGGCTGCGTGGGCAACGTCTCTTGGCGTATTTTGTTAAAATCAAAAGTGGCAGCAGGGGTAGCCTGTGGGGTACCAGCTGGCTGGGAAGGTTGGGGGCGGGGAGAGGGTTGCTGCCGGCTGTCTTCTTTGGTACACAGTAGGCCCGGGGTCGCCGCCCCGGGTGGCAACAGTTCTGGGGCGCGAGGGCGGCTCTGTGAGGGTCCACGCCCGCTCGCAAAGATACCTGTCATTCTACTCGCAGAGCCTGGCTTTCGCCCCTTCGTGGGGAGAGGGGAGGGCGGGGTCTCGGTGGCTCCCATATCTATAGGCCTTTAGTTCCTCTGCTCCTCCTTCTCCACCCCACCTCTCCTTTCTGGGCCGAGGGCCCCCTTGGCAGGCTGTGCGGGAGCCCCGGGGCGCTTCCGCCCTATCGGGGCACCCGCGCATTTCCTCCTTCCCTCCCTGCCCAGCCTTCCTCGCCGGCCGCCTCCAGTCAGCCACGTGACAGGAAGGGCCTCGCCACGCGACGTCACCGACGTGCGCACCGCCCCACTCCCCTCTCGCCCGCCCCGCGCCCCGCCCCGCACGCACGCAAAGGGGCGGCCAACGGAGGAGGCAGGAGGGGGACGCCGCGCGCCCGGCATTCCCCAACCAGCAGTCGCCAGAGCGGCGCGGCGGCCGCCCGGAGGGTTCCCGGATGTGCGGCGCTCGCGGAAGCCCCGCCCCGCCGCCGGCCCCGCGCGCGCCCCCGCCCTCCGCCCCGCGCGCCGCTGCGCTCCGCTCTCCCCTCCCTCTCCCGCGCCCTCCCCTTTTTTTTTTTTTTTTTTTTTCTCGAGCCTTGAGGTTGCGGGTCAGCGCGAGCCACTGCAGTGAGTCCGTCACGGCTCCGGCGCGAGCGCGAGGCTGCAGTCCCCGAGCCGCCTGGCCCTCTGGGTCCCCCTCTTCCCCCGTCCTTTTCTGCTTGCCTGCCTGCTTCTCGCCTCGTCTCCTCCCGCGCTCGCTCTCAATCTCGACCTGAATTTTGCTTCTCCCCACCCCGGCCCTGTCCACTCCCCTCGCGTGCCCAGTCACCCGGCCGGCGCGGGCCCCGCGGCGCCGCCTCCCCTCCCCCACGCGCACCCCCTCCCCGCGGGCGTCCCGAGGGCCGCCGCCGCCGCCGCTTCCTGCGGGAGCCCGTCCGATCGCCGACACTCCTTCTCCTGAGAGCGAGCCGCCGACCCGCCGAGCAAAATGGTGAGACCTTGGCTTCCCGCCGCGGACGGGATCGGGGGATCGGGGGGCCGGGGGACCGGGGTGGGGGGAGGCTAGCCCTGACGCCCCCTGTGCCCGCTGCCCCCCTCTCCCAGCTGGAAAATTCCAGAGACCCGGTGCTGCGGCGGGTGCAGGCAAGCCCGCTGCGGCGGCCGGGGGGTGCGTTGGCGGCCGGTGGAAGGCGAAGGGGCCGGCTGCGTGACAGGACGGCGTCCTGGCTGGCGGTGCTGCACCGGGGAGCCCCCCGGGGCCCCTGCGCACGCCCCCCGGCCGCGCCCGCCGGGAGTCTCCCGAGCCCCGACCCCCGCCGCCCCCGCCCCGGGGCCTCCAGCAGCCCACGTTCCCTCCGCCCGACCCTGCTCCCCGTGGAGCTCCCCCTCGCGCCCCCAGACTTACTCTTCTTGGCAAGTTGGAGGGTGTTCCGAGAGCGGGTGGAAATAATAATATGTGGCAAATGGCGCTTTATGTAAGACCCACTTTGCCGAGCTGCTCCTGCTCCCACTCATTCCCCATTTTGGAGCCGCGAGGCTTGGCAGGAGTCCTGCCCCTCGCTTCCCCCGGCTCCCCGGTGGTGTTTATTTCGCGGCTGCAAACAGCCGCGGGGCGGGGGGGTGGTGTTCTGTCGGTGGCCTGCTGCTCCCCCTGCACGGGCGAGCCGGAAAGAGCCAAGGTGTGTGCCTGGAAACGCGGCCGGAGCGGTGGCGATGCTGGCCTTGGGATGCTGCCCAGGGCTTTTCGTCCTCTTTTGTTGCGGTCCTGTGTGCTTGTTTTTGAATCATGGCGATGTAGATGTGTCTTTCCTTACCTCGTATTAATCCCTAGGTGGAATTCACTGCTGTAGTGTTTCAGACCGACGCTAGGGGTGTGTCTCCCGCCTCGGTCGCGGTGGCCTGGAGATCCGCGACGCCCTTTGCGCCGGCTGCCTCGCCGGGGCTCTTGCTCCCGGGCAGCCCGTGGCGGTTCCTTTTTGTAATCGAGAGTTGCATCTGTGGGAGAGAGAACTCGCAGTGCTGGTCCCCGAGTATCAAATATCCGGACGTGTGATTCGGTGGTTGCACTTTGCTCTGCAAGTTTTTGGACAGTTGTCTGAAGATTTTTAGACAGCTGGACGCGGTTTCTTGCAATTTTTAATTGTGTGATGTGCCACCATATAGACAGGACTTAAATATTTCAAAATACAACGGCGGGTTATGATGAATAGAGAAATTCTGTGCATTGCAACTGAAAATTAATTTGGTGGCCATGACGAAAAAATTTGATATTAGAATAAATAGGTCAGCTCTGGACGTAGTGAGAGTGCAGGTTAAGTACACAGTGTGAAAGGTTCACGGATTTGGTGTGTAGAGGAGGTCTCTACCAACTTTAGACACAACTTCAGTCTACAAAGTCACAACATGCAGGCTTTCCCATGTTACAGACAGCGCTTTAGAAAGGGCAGAGGCATTTGCAGTAAAATCTTCTTGTTGGCATGCTCCTGGAAGTTAGGGACTATTTTCTTTCACTGTAGTTTTTTAATATAATTTAATGCACATGTGTTACTTTCACATCAAGATCTAGAAGGTCTTTGGTTACTGTCAGTGTTTTTATTGATGACAGATTTTGAGAAACCATGGTCCAGTCATTTGTTTATATCTTATATAGCAAAATGACCTCGCTTCAGATAGTTTTTTCTCTGCTTAAGATATACACCGTTTCTTATTTTTGAGCAGCAGACTGTATTTGGGGAATTCTTTTTGCTTGCAAATTTCTTACCTTTTGTATATTCACTGTTTTCATTTTTTCAAAGATTTTGTTTATTTTTATTGGAAAGGCAGATATACAGAGAAACGGAGGTAAGAGGGAAAGATCCTCTGGCTCACTCCCCAAGTGGCTGCAACGGCCAGAGCCGAGCTGATCCGAAGCTGGGAGCCAGGAACCTCTTCTGGGTCTCTCCCATGCGGGTGCAGGGTGCTAAAGCCTAGCAGCATCCTCGACTGCCTGCCCAGACCACAGACAGGGAGCTGGATGGGGAAGTGGAGCAGCAGGGATTAGAACCAGTGCCCATATGGGATCCCTGGCATGCAAAGCAAGGACTTTAGCCACTAGGCTTTGGCGCTGGGCCTTGTTTCTATATTTTAAAAAGTATTGTAAGATATACAAGATAATGTTTCTCCAGGCTATTGTGTTTCTCCTTCCAGTTTTCTGATTTTCTTTCTTGGCTTGCTCTTTTCCTTCCAGTACCATTTCAGAACCTGTATAATTCGTAGAGACAGTGGCTTCTCAACTTCAAGCCTGTTTTAGTTTGAAAATATTAAGACCATATCTATAGCTAAATTTGCCATTTAGGTTACTGAGTAGTCAAGTTAGGCATTGGGAAGATCTGGTTAATTTTTCTAGTTAATTAAGCAGACAGTTTTGAAAATTTTCACTCTTTTTGGAAAACCTATGTTAATTCAGTGTTATGAACATGCTACCATTTTTTGTCAACAGACTTTGTAATATTAACTTATTAATAATACTGATTAGTTCTAAGTAAAGTGAAAGCTAAGACTAATCAAGTTCCTCCAGCATGTTTTTGAGAGGTATTTCAATAGTTGTTACCTTGAAGTCATAATCCTCATGTTCTCTGTGTTAAAATCTCCTTTCTTGAGATTTCCCCAACTTGAGTTTCAAACTGTTGAGCATCCAGATGAAGATTATATGTGTGTGTGTATAAGAATTTAGGAGAGCTGAGCTCAGAAGAATTTTCCCCTGACCAGGTTTTTGTTGGACTAGATAAATATGCCTTTTTGTTCTGGGTGTTAGATTATGGTATATAGGTGATTTTGTTTTTTAGGTCAACCTAAAATTTCATGAATTGCATTTTAGTGTGTTTGCATTTTACCATTTTGGTAAAGTTGTCGGCATCTGCATGATCTGTGACTAGAATTTAAAACAAATTGATATTTATCTAAATTCCATTCGGAGTTGTATACAATGCAATCTAGTTCATTCTGTGTCAAGAAAGGGTAGATTTTTTTTTTAAGACAAAGCAACCTGTTTGTTGTCCAGTATAATGAAACTTCACCTGAACAATGAGATTTCTCTACTCATTGTGTAGCATAATGGATGAGAAAATGAGGGTGGCTAAGGGTCAGTGAGCAGTGAGAGGGACAAAGCTGGAAGGATTGGGAATTCACCATCCACTGTGAAGTGTTTGGGCCAGGTGAAGCCCCGGGGCTGACGTAAGCAGCAGGGCTACTTAGATGCCCACAGATTTTGTGTGCTGTTCACCAGGTGTCATGTTTGCTGCTGTATCAGGAAGATGCTGAAAGAATTAAGGCAGGTTTTTAGCTTTCAGTTTTGCAAAGAATGTAAGACGAATGCAATAACTGAAATAAGTTATTATGTGATGAATTTCATGGACAGTATGTAGAAACTTAGATGGAAATTAGGAAAGGAGCAGTATACATTTCTCATGGATTAGAAAAAGGTTTTGGTTTTTATTTTAATTATGAAGGAGATGACCACTGAGCTGGCTCTAAAAAGATTTTTAGAATCTCAGCAGGCAGAGTTGGAGCTATCTAGAACACTTTAAGTGTTGAAAGTAGAGCGTGTATAATTGCTTCATTGGTCTCAACGCTTGGTGTTTCAGCATCACCTGGAGCCTAGCTGGACTCTGTCCTGGACCAGCTGAATCCAGACCTGGAGATGGGCCAAGCAGACTATATAGGTCTTCCTGGAAGTTAGTTAGGATGTATGCTAAATTTGGGGAGCTTTTTTTTTTTTTTTAAATTTTAACTCCTTTTCTGGAGCTGTTGTTTTGAAAATAGCAAGAAATAGGTTTATTTAGACTTTAGTTAAGTGTCTGTTAATATTCCTAGTACTAACTGTACAAGAAACTTAATATTGCAAAGAAACTTAATCAAGTAGGGTAAACAACATAGTGATTATGCAGTTTGGTATGTGCTGTTAAACTAAACATGGGGTGCTGTGGGAGCACATGGTAGGAAGAGACTTAATCCAGACTTGGGATGAAAGTCACATGGAGAAAGCTTCCTAGGAGATAGGGTGCCTGAGCTGAATCTTAAAAGGGTAAGTATTTAAGCAGTGGTGAGAAGCACTCTGCATGGAGAGCTTATGATTAAGCTGTACAAGCCAGCCTTAAGAACTAAAGTACAGGCAGTCCCTGTCTCAGGGTGGTTTAATCTAGGATATTTTAATTTTACAGAGATGATAGGCAATCACTAGAAACCATCCCAGTGTGCATTTGCTGTTTGTTAGCAGTAATGGCGAGGACCTTTATAATGGCCTATACAGCCATTTCTGTTTTCACTTTGTCTACAACATTCAGTAAATTAAATACATTTACTATAAGATAAATTTTGTGTTAGGTGCTTTTTGCCTTACTATAGGCTAATGTAGGTGTTCTGAACCACATTTAAAATAGGCTAAGCTAAGCTAGCCCTGGTATTTGGTTGATTTGGTATATTAAAAATGTAACAATATGTGTGTGTACATATATATGTATACATATATATATTTTGCACCTAATGATATTTTAAGCTGAAAAGACTGGCATTGTGGAACAGTGGTTAAACTATCACTTGCCATGGTGACACCCCATATTCAGAATGGTGGTTTGGGTCCCACCCAGCTGCTCTGCTTTGCATCCAGCTTCCTGCTAAAACACCTGAGAAGGTAGCAGAAAATAGCCAAAGTTTATGGGCTCCTGCCACCCACGTGGGAGACCTGGATGGAATTCCTGGGTGTGTTGTGGCTATTTGGAAAGTAGTCTAGTGAGTGGAAAATCTCTCTGTATCTGTCACTCTGCCTTTCAAATACATAAATCTTCTTGAAAAGATATTTTCAACTTAGAGTGGGTTTTTTGAGAATTCATCAAAGTTGGTAGGAGGTTAGGAGAGAGCATCAGATACATTAAGGCTGTCATAGAGGGGTTTGTATAATATAAGAAGGAGTTAAAAATCCCTTAAAACAGTTAGAAGCTGTTTTTTTTCTTAAAT